TTTTTTTTTTTTTTTTTTTGTTTTCTGTTTTGTTAATTACTTGCTAAAACTCGCAAACGTTGCTTTTTTATGAGATTTTTTAGGACACTGATGACAGTCGCCTTCCGTTATATTTAAAACTCCTATCTTTTTCGGAGCTAAATGACGAAGTCAATGCTGATCGCGTGCAAGCTTTCAGAAACCTCAATCGTATTTATGATGTCAAAGTCATTTCTGCTATGTACGATCATCAGCTGTACAATTCAGCTCGTAGTTTTGCGAAGACTAGGTGGCAGGTTTTTGCATGTTTTACATTTCAATAATTCTTTGTCAACTTCATAAACTTTTCGTATTAACTGGGATTTTTGTTGTTCTATGGTTATAAAGAGTCGTATTCTGTTCCATTTACAGGCTTGAAGACCCTGCTTTTCTGACTCCTGCAGCTTTCCTGCGTATATGCGGGTTGATGAAAGATTTTTTTTTGCACAGTATTGAAACACCAGACGACCACGAATTGATAAGATCACTTCGTGAACAGTTAGATTACATGCCCTCCTTTTGTACAGGTGCAGCTAAGCTTTATCTTGATTCGTGTGGAGTAGTGAATACTCTTCCAACAGTACCGTCAAATATCATTCAAAGGGCGAACGTGGTGGAGGCCCTTCTTGGTCGGTTTTCTAACTTTCTAAATGACATTAGTGGTGTTTTCGCTTGCTGAATTTTAGATAAACAGTAGATTGGCATGATCACTTTTACGTACAGGGATGTGTTACTTGATTTTCAGATCTGTAATCAATGTTCTCTGTTTAAATTAACTTTCTTGCACACATTTTTCACTACAGCAAATTTCCTGCGGCAGAAGAAGTTCCAGTATTTTGAAGAATTATTGAAGAACGAACCCGATTTTTGTATTGGTAACTCAGTAGTTCTGCTTAGTTCATTACTGAAGGTCATCGAATCAATGCCCTATATCTCAAATTTGTTATTGAATCGTTTTTTGCTGGAAGGTTCAGTCCCTGAGAAGTCACTGCTTACCCTGCTTGAACTTATTTTAAAGTTAGAATATGAAGACCACTTTTATACTGTTTTATTTTCACGACTTTCTTTTTCAGGCTGACACTGTTGTCTCTTGCAAGAACATAGTTTTTCAAACGTTTTATTGGTTTCAATACGTTGCTTTTCAATATTTTGAATTTTTTCTAGTAAGTCGAGATTGTGGGATGCAAAAATTGTAAGTATTTCTCGGGAAGGCCGCTGTTCTCGCTGCAACAGTGTGATGGTCAAAGAAGAAGGTGTCACTAATGAGGACTTTGGTCATATCCGAGATGACTTTAGGTAAATTTTTACTTTGCCCAGAAAAGTTAGAAGATATTTGGCAGGATCTTCATTTGAATTTTTTTGGTTTTTCTGGGTGCTGCTCGTCTGTGATGCTGTAGCATAGTGTTTTTTTATAGTATTATTTTTTTATCCTTTAATTGGATTTTTGCAAGATACGTAGTTTTTCACTCAAAGTAATTATTATTTTTCCTACAGCGAGTTGTTTGATTGATTTTTTTCTGAGAATGAATAGGTGGTGACTTCAACTGTCTTTAATTTTCCTTTCTTACCAATAATGATTGATTTCAAGTAGACAATTAGAGAAAGCATTAATTTTTTCCATTTATTTATTTATTCCTCAGCTTGAGTTTCCCTGAGTCTTTTTTTTGTTTCAGGAGGTACATTTTTAGAGTTTCTTCTGATCGTTCAAGAGCTCTTCCAGTCGAGATTAAAGCATTGCTGACGTATATCAGGAAACTACCTCAGGTTTTTTATTAAAGGAATTTGCCTTCCATGACACTTCATTTTGCTCAATTGATTTTAGTGAAAGTAGTTATTATTATAGGATAGCGGTCACCCATTAGTTGTTGATGGTTTAAATACTACGGGTGGGGGAGATTTTTACAATGCATTATTCGAAAAAATGCCTTGTGTGACAGTTAAATTCAGTCCTATTATGTTGATCACCCGCAAGGGACAGCCAAGACGTTTTATTGATGAAATTAGGCGACGTGGAGTAGAGGTTTTTTTCTGCAGTAAAAGGTATTCTAATTTGTATTTTTACTTCTGAAAAGAATTTATTAAGATCTTATTGAAGTTGGAATGCTTTTTGAAAATTTTTTACCATAGTGCTCCTAAATTTCAATGTTCACCAAATTTTGTTTTATATAGTTGCTTTCGCTAATGATTCGTAGTGTTTATTTAGCAGTGACGATGATCTGTTCATACTACTGTCTGCTTTGGAAATTGGACTAAACTGCTTTATTTTATCAAACGATCGTTTTCGTTACTATGATTCCGTGGTATCTTCTTCAAGAAGGGATTTGTTTAGGAAATGGTTGCGGACTAGATTGATAACCCACGATCTAACGGATATTCGTTTTGTTGTAAGTCCTTAATTTTGAGAAGATTTTGCTTTACACTAGTGGCTAGAAAATGCGTAAAGCTCTTTTACGCCACCTCACACAATTCTTTTCAGTCGGTGTTTTCTGATTCACTTCAAGCTTGCATAAAATATGGGTTTTATTTTTCTCTTTTCGTAGCAAATTGGTTTTTTTTAAAGGGTGATGGAAGCTCTTTCTCAACATTTCTGAAACATTATTTCGTAGGGTGCGTTTAAAGTGGGTTATTTTTTGACCGGAAACGCGAGCTTTTGCCACTTTAAGGAGGTTATAGTTCTCCTGTAAGAAAACTAGAGAGGTGGGTTTAAGCGTATTTACAGATTAGGAATTGACTTTGTAATCTGAGCAGATTTGAAAAAAATCTGAGAAGTCAATTGAAAAAGGTGTAGTGTTTTATGTGGAGTGACTCGCTGTAATGTATGAATGCCAGTCTGACTTCCAGCAGAACAAAATGTAGTAGGAAATATATTATGTCGGTTGTTGAAATGTAACAGTAGTTCTAGTTTAGGAGGAAGTTGTTTAAATGGGGACTTTCTTTGTTTGGCAGGCTGAGCAAAGAGTTGGATCTCTAATACCCAGTGACATTCCGGTGTTAGGTTCCCGAAGGGTTTACACTTTTTTATTTTTATTTTTTATTTTTAACGGACGTAGCATTTTTCGCCTACGGCTTGCAACTGAAAGGTAGTGGGACTGGGGCATTTGTAGAAACACCTGTAGAGTTAGTGTTATAATTAACTTCACAACTGAAGCATTTTAAAAGGCAATTATGTTGAACGATTGATTGTTACGAACAACTGATTTCAGAACTTTTATTTTTCTTTTAGATGCCTCCCGTTCACGCTTTAACTCCTCAACTGAATGAAGGTGTCTACCACTTACCGTTTTTTGAGAAGTGTATCAGTCATACGAAGGAAGATGAGTATACTTGGCTCTGTGTTAGGAAGTCTAGTTGAGACACCTCGAGTTAGTTGAGGTAGCAGCCTCTCATGTGTTTATCGGGGTTTTCTTGGTTCATCGTTCGAACAATGTGAATTAAATGTTATCCTTCTGTAACTGTAAACTTCAACCTCAAGTTTACTGGTTTGTACAGTAGTAACATCCCCTTCTGGGGAATGTTTTGTCTTTCAGTATAACTTTAATGTTGCTTTGTTTGAGAGAAGACAGTATTGACTTGTCTATGACTTCAAAAGACCTGTAGAAGACTCTGAAATAATGCTAAAAGAAGGATCAAAGAAATAAATTTTTTAGCAGAAAATCACTTTGAAACTTTATTTCAATTACACAAAAATGTGTAGAGTAGACTGGTCGCCATCGAGAAATTGTGGAAAGGACGTCGGTAAAAACCATTACAGGAATAAATAGAACCTCCTGTGAGTCTTAATTCATAATTTTTCTGACATTCAACAGAACAGTGTAGGACCACTAGACAAACAGCTCATATTTGCTTCCGTTAATACCGGGATGGGTTTGCGCTTATTCCTTTCAGGGCAGTGTTTTTATACCGGCTAAAAGCTCTTCACACTTCTTCTTTGCGTCACCAAGTAACATCCATGTATTCTCATTAAAGAACACTGGGTTATCAACAGCAGCGTAGCCAACGCCTAACGTCCTCTTCATAATTACAACCTTAATTATAAAGTTTAGATAGTATCCTGTTAAATGAAAAAACTTTTAAGATACTTATTTTTGCACGACCGGTGATTCTGACAGTAATGATTTTACATTTGAGGAAAGTCGAAGTTAGAAGTAGCACCGTTTTGGACATACCTGCTTTGCTTTCCACACCCGCAAAACTGGCATTCCTGCGATTGACGAGTTTGGATCATCTTCGGCAGCCGAATTTACAGTGTCGTTTGCACCTATTACCAAAACAACATCTGTATCAGGGAAATCATCGTTAATCTCATCCATTTCTTCTACAATATCGTATGGAACACCAGCTTCAGCCAGCAAGACGTTCAACTGACCGGGCATGCGTCCTGTAACAGTATCATAACATTAACATCCATTATTAAATTGTCTGGAAGTCTGTAATCACGTCTGCACTGACCAGCAACTGGGTGAACTCCGAAGCGGACATTTTTGCCCTTTTCTCGTAGCAATTTGACCATTTCAGCAATTGGGTACTGTGCTTGCGCTGCGCAAAGTCCATATCCAGGAACAACAATCACATTTTTTGCTTCGGCGAGGAGATCAATTGTCTTAAAAATGCTATGTAAAAGCATTCAAAGGGCACAGGGATTCATAAAAGCAACAAGGAGTGCCTATGCAACCTCAGTCTTTTATTTGCTTTGTTTGTGGAATAAACAATCAGATTTGTCTTTCAGCTGGTTGAAATCTGAACTCATTTTGCGAAATGAGTGAGCAGGTTTGACTGGTAAGAGAATTCAATTATTTTACCTGTTGAGAAGTAGCTTCCGTTGCTGTACCTTCGATTGCTTTTGCCTTCCCCTTACCTTGAGTTTTCGTTCCCATTCCTCCCATGATTACATTCGTTAGAGAGCGATTCATTGCCTTAAACATTATTGCTTGCAAAGCTAAGTGATAAGCAACAAAAATAGCAGTTAAGATCAATCCAAAACTACCATACCCTGCACATGATGTACGAAAGGATTGCACCGGAACTTCCGATTAAAGCACCAACAATTGTCAATAAATCATTATTAAGCATAAAACCTTCTGCACAAAGTGCCCAACCACTGTAACTGTTAAGCACTGTGATAACTACTGGCATATCAGCTCCTGCAAATCTCAAAATTAGAAGCTTACTGACTACTAGGATTTCCCTCTTAAAATTCCATCATTTTTTATCTTACTGTTGTAAAATAAAATCGAAAAGATTAAGCTATACCTCCTATAGCCATGGTGAGCGTGACACCCATAACACTACTCAACAGTGAGGTAGTTCCTAACATTGTAAGGTCTGTGTAGTGGTCATTTGTACCCATATAAACAGCTAAAGCAGCAAGATTTCCTAAGCCTAGTCCACTGTTGATCCAATGACGGCCTGGCATGAAAACAGCGTTGCTCTTTAGAATACCTAAAATGAAAGTCACATTTAGAAATATGTGTGTGACTTCTGAAAAAATTGATAAGAATCAATATTTTTTGAGATGACAGTTACCTTGCAGTTTTCCATATGCCATTAAACTCCCTGTAAATGTAACACCACCGATATAGGCTCCCAAGAATAAAGCGCACTTTACAGCTGCAGTTCCGGATGGATCAGCCAAAAAGTGTGGATGCTCAACCAAAAAGTTTGCAATACACGTTGTAGTAGCTGCAACGCCCACAAAGCTGTGGAACAGAGCTACTAGTTGTGGTAAGTCGCTAACCTGGAATTCATCTGAACCGGTACCCAGCAAATACCGTTTTGTTTGATAGACTCATGTAGTTTAATGTTGCTAGGTCAAGGCGACAAGACGGAAATAGCTGATTAAATTTTACCCTAATTCTGCTGGCAATCGCAAGCCCAATGAGCATACCACTAGTAACGCACGCTCCCATCTGTGCCAGAGTGCTCGGATCGGGAGTTAAACGACCAAGCGTTGCGGCCATACCTCCAGCAACACCGATCATACCTAAAAGATTAGAATGCCGATGACAACGCGATACGTAAAGAATAGTAAAATTCGTTTAAAAATAACCTAAAGAGTTTCCGAGCCTGGATGAATGTTGCGAAGAAAGGCCTGCCAGAGCCCCAACGCAGCAAAGTGAAGAACCAAGATACGTTAGGGAGTGAATCTCTGGAAAACCATTATGAAACCCATATCCATAAGCGCCCAGAAATGCAGCTGCGGGAATCGCATAGAGATAATTGTACTCCAAAGGATCCGCTGAAAATATGAACATTATAATTTTTCTTGAAATTGTTCTGTTAAATGACACCTATTGAAGACGTTATGTCTTTGTCCATTAATGAAACATCAACATACTTGGTCGCCTAAACATATCAAGCATTCGTTTCGTGATCAAGAAGCCACCTCCAATATTGATGGAGGAAAGAAATGCGGCAGAAGCTGCAAGTCCTTCAGCTGCATTGGTTGGATATAGGCCTCCACCCATAACACAAAGGGCAGCGGCAGCAGTAATTCCAGAAATGGCATTTGTAACCGACATGAGCGGTGAGTGAAGAGCCGGAGTTACTCCCCATACAGTATGATAACCAAAAATAACCTCAATATATTACTGGCAAAAAGAAAAAAAATAAAAGATGCCCTTAACTAGTTGAAAAATTTCATTGATGACTGTCAAACTCTTAAATAAACTTCTAAAAAAGAGGCAGAATCTCTTTTAAGTTGTCTTTATTTAAAATTATCATCAAGGTAACTTTTTTTAAAACAACAACAGTTTATTTAAAATTCCTAAGTAAAACTATTTTACTGGGAAATATCCATACCAACAATGCCGGCAAGCGCAAACGTTGTTAGCATTTTGCTGAGAGATGCATCCGGAGAGGTTAAACCCAACAGACTAATTGTTCCCAGTCCTAAACCACGACTAGATAATTACGAAAGTATAATATTTTGATAAATTAAAATTTGATGGAGAGCTTCTAAATCAAAACTATAGCATTTAGAAAGGTTACATACCTCCGGTATATACCATAGCACTTCTAAGCGTTTTCTGGAACGGTGATAAAGGAACTACTGCAGTTTCCGCTTTCGCTGGAGCTGTCGCTGTTTTAACTCCCTCAGTGGGCGAAGGTGGAGGAGAGGGTGGTGGAGGCCACATCATTTTACCCTTACCAAGAATAATAGAACCTCTAACAACCTCGTCGTCCAAGTTGATATTATATCCATCTTTACTGCCTGGATCAGAGAAATACCGTATTGTAAGTCATCGCGCGATAAGAAACAAAAAATTTTTTAACCCGTTTGGATATCTGTTTGGTACCATATTTGGTGATCGTTTTCAAAAATAAGTTGCAATAAAAACTATGTAAACTGGTCACCGTTTGATTTTTCACGATTTCTCAGTCATGAAAGCACAAAGTAACTTGCCAATGCTAAGCAAGAATTTGGTGATATTGTTGGCGTATAGAGTACTGCTTTGTGTCGGTAATCGACTTGGTAGGTCGGTATAACCAATGTGAACAACGCCGTTTAAGTCTGTGTACAGCTGTCCAGGTCTTGTTGTTTCAATGTTTCCACCAGCTTCTGCTGCCAAATCCACAACGACACTGCCAGGTTTCATTGATGCCACCATTTCCTAAAAACCCATCACTCCATACTTTAAATTAACTACATTTCTCAACCAACTGCTGCAGGCTTTTAATTTAAAAGGCTATAAAAAACAGTTAATTAAAGCTGTTAAACGTCTTAAATAATGGAGTAAGGATGATTAAGGTCTTAATAATAAATGAATCGTTACTTTAGTAATTAGCAGTGGAGCTTTTTTGCCTGGAATTAAAGCTGTTGAGATCACAATATCAACCTAAAAATATCAGATTATGTAAGTTGGTGATAGCACCATAAATTTAGTAGAAATGATCAGTTTTGTTGAAGGTAGCAAAATACAGCTTAGTAACTGTGAGCAGTTGCATCAAAAGTTTATTCTTCTGGTAAATTCTAAATGTTTCAAATTCAGGAATTTGCAGTGATAGAGGTATTTTTAGATAACGGTTTTGCATTGGAACTTAATAGCTTAAACTGTCTAAACCAAAAGTTTCTCTAGATTTAAAAGTAGTTCCTCCAAATTTTAGCGGTGACTACGATTGGTTAAACTTTTAATGTAAAGCATATCTATAAAAGAACCTCTTTACACTGATTTGCAAATAGTTCCATTTCTTTAGCAATGTATTCTTTGCTCATTTCTTTTGCGTATCCGCCTGCTCCTTCACCAGATTCTTCCATTTTAATTTCAAGAAATTCACCTCCCAAAGACTGTACTTGCTCCTTTACCGCTGCTCTAGTATCAAAGCCTCGAACAATAGCTCCCTACAAAAAAGCGTTTTCATCTTGATACAATGAAAGCGCTCAGCACAAATCGCTTGGCAAACTCCATTCCGATTGGGTAAGGTCCTTCCCAAACTGAAAGAATTTAATAGGAATCAAATCGTACCATACTTTTCGCGGTTCCTATAGAGCTTAAACCCGCTACACCACCTCCAATAACCAATACTTTTGCTGGTGGTACTCGGCCAGCAGCTGTAATCTGACCGGTAAAGAATCTTCCAAAATGATTGGCTGCTTCAATAACAGCCTTGTAACCAGCAATGTTAGCCATTGAGCTGAGTACGTCAAAAGCCTACAAATTTTTACAATTAGTTCAGTTCTAACTGTTCAAAAAAATAAACAAAATCCGAGAAATTCCAAGCGACAAGAATTATAAGTTAAAGACATAGCAAAAATCCTTTCGCTTCTCTAGTACCTTCCAGCTTTTCAGTCATTTTAACAATTATGTTTCTGGATGATCAATGGTTACCTGTGCACGAGATATCCGAGGAATACAGTCCATTGCAAAAACAGTCATATTCTTCTTCTCAAGAGCTACTATTAGATCTTTGTTTTGCGCCGGATATATCATTGAAATAAGTGTACTTTTATCATGGAAACTCTCCACTTCCTTCATAGAAGGAGCCCGTACCTAAAATTTAGACTACTCAGTAATATGAAGAAGCCATGTTTTTTGAAAATAAAATTTGAAGTTACAGAAAGAGAAGTCATTCAATTGTAACAGTCAAACACTCTAAGTAGAAGGCATCTGTTAACTAGCTGTTCTTCATCTCAAAGTACTGACTGCCTTTAATTTCTATATCAAAGGTTGCAACAAGAACTTTCAAGAAAAGTGGCCAGTTTTTCTACGCAGTATTCACCATATACAGCAGATAGTGCAAAAATATTTCGGAACTTAGAAAAAACAAAAAAGACACCTGGTGTTATCAATTTACGGTCCATTATCTGCCTTTTGTGAAAATCAAGGGAGCAGAGCAGATCATTTTTCGTTAAAGACTACAATTTTGAGAGATTTTTCAAAAAAGCTTTTATTAATCCAAAAAAAAAAAAAAAAAAACAATTCCATAAGAATTCAAACTTTACCAATTCTAACGTAACAATGCGCAACAAATTTTCTAATTTAAATGGTTACCTTTAAAATGATATCAGAAGCAAGGGCATGGTCGCGATCCACAATTGTAGCACCAGCTTTGGCGTACAGTTCATCGTTAAACGATGCTGCAGCTCCGGCTCCCTTTTCGACCTTAACTTTGATTCCACGTTTTGTTAATGTTTGAACAGCTGAAGGCGATAATGCAACTCGTTTTTCACCTAAAACTCATATCTTGATAATGGTAATAGACAACTGCAAAAAAATCCTCTTAATTAAAAACTCCCTTTATTTCTCAACTTTTCCCAACTTTCTACTAATTATTGAGACCTACAGCAACTTTTTTTTTTTTCAAATTATTGGGCTCAAAAAAATTGAAAAAGAAAGCAAGCTAGACAGGAAGTGTAGGTGTTGTGTCATTCATCGTAATTCAAAATTTTGTTGCTATAAATTAAGATTTGTTTCCTGATAACACATCAGAGCATTTAATTGAAGGAACAAACTATTTTTGTAGGGCACAAAGTAGTACCTTGAAAAGTTTCTTTAACTGTCGAAACAGATATATCCTTCCAAGAAGTACCCACTATTGTTTTGGCAGCATTTTTAGGAATACTTTTTGGTGTTGCAGTGGCCAAATGCCGCCGTATTAATAAGAAAGAGGACAGCCGAACTCTGTAGGTCATTACTACCTAAAGAAACATCTGATCAAATTTGATTTATCAACTTACATTTTTACAAACTTACTTTATAAAAAAAAAAAAACAAGTTCAGATATTATCTTTTTAGCCTGGAAATCTTTAATTGCAACATGACATTATAACAGCAACCAAAAACTATAACTTTTATAAAGTGCTATATTGATCTTAACAAAATTTATTCTCAATTATTCAAACATTTTTTAATTAAACGAAAGTTTCTTTAGTGTATGTCAGTTGTTTATAAGAAATGCGCTTAAAATTGATAACGTCACTACTGTTGGTCAGTAATCCTACAGAAAACAAGCCGCTAGCGGTAGTTTATGAAAAACTTTAGATAATACATCTAGAAAATAGGAGAAAGAAAAATAAACAAATAAACAGTTAAAGTATTGATGGATAACATAAAAAGTTATTGTTTCAAAAATTTGATCAACAAAGACAAGAGATAAAAATATCATTTTAAAAAAATTTGTAAAATTGATATCTGATATGTAATAATACCTCATTTAAGTTGCAAATTTTTTATTTTTAACAAAAAAAATTTGTGTTAAGAATGTTTAATTATCTTAAAATATACTTTACTACAGAAAATAAACAACAGACAATTATGACTGAATTTGTTGTGATGTACAGCTTTAAAGCTTTAAAATTAGCAGCTTACAAAAAAAAACTATACAACAAAAAAAAAATCATACAAAAATAAATTTTTTTTGAAACCACAGCAACAGTTATTATTCACCTTTTAAACTGTTCGATGCGATATTGGTGCATCGACCGATAATGCAAAACCGAAGACTGCTTATTGAACTGAGGTGATGATGGAACAAATTGTGAACTGTTATTACCCCAGAATAGTGACCAGGCTAAATTGATTATATAGAAAGTAGGATGTTTAAGATTAGAAAAAAAAAAAAAACCTGAGCATTTTTAAAAAGTTGACGAAAATCAATTAAAATAACAACAAAAAATTTTTGCTTATAATTTTAGACATTATTAATAACAGTTTTTTCAGCTCGCCATATGAGCGTATATTC